GGATTTGACACTAATTGAGAAGGCTTAACCCATGTTTAGCTCCCCCTAGATAGCAATTATGACTTGTCGGATCGAATGGACACGTGTGGTAAGGAGGTTGTAAACCGTAGGTAAGCGCAACAAGTGAACAAACGCCACTCTCTCGGTCAGTAGGTCAAGGGAATTCCATTCAAGCAACCAAATTAACTCTGTTGACCTATTGACTAAGGGTTGTCAAAACTTCACCCTCGAATCGGAGTTCGGATGGCCAAATTACAACCAACCCTAGGTGCTAATATGAACAAATAGGGTTGCCCTACATTAACCTAGATAGGAGACAAGATTTGCCTAAGAAAACACAGCTTTGCAAGTCTCTTTCAAAGAAAGGGAGTTTTCTCTCTACCTAGGTTAGAATGGTAAATAGATTGATATGCAAACACACAACAAAATCTTCAATGAAAATACTTCCAAATTCATATTAAAACACATCCACGCACAAATCATTTAACTCATACAAGCATTCACATAATTGTAGCCGGGATTTACAAACACCCAAGTGAAATAAGGGACTACTCCATGCTAGTAGAAGGGAAAACAAGGGAGAAAAAGGGAAACGATCATGGAGATTCTAGCTTTGTTCCTTGTGTTGAAGTGATCCTTTGGGGAAGGAATTCCCAAAAACTTGTCTGAAGATGAAACCCTAGCTTCTTCTCTTATTTGGTTCGTCACTTTCTCACTCTAGAAATATGAAGAAAAAGAAAAAGTTTCTCACACTAGGTCTCTCCCCCTTTCTTCCTTCAACTCAAGCCTCTTTTATACTCAGGTTGAGCTCGATTCATGATTCCAGTTCACCGCCGTGAACATATGGCAGGGACCGTGAACTGGAGCAAAAAACGCACCACGTGTCATTTAAGCTCTTCATGGTCTCTAGCTTTGCTTCATGGTTCTAGGTGGACTTGGCTTCTTGTTCAATTGCGCTTCATGAACATAAGGAGCATTGGTAGAGGTCATAATGGGGGTAATCTTGTTGAGGTCAGCGTCGCAATCTCATCACGGCAGCCGACTCCAGCTGGAACCAAATCTGCAGAATCAGTCCGTTAGCCACAAAGATGGAAGGCGGCGAATTCAAAGAGAGACAGAGAAGGAAAGTACAACGCTCAAATCAAACGGCTATCTACAAAGGGTTAATATAAATAGAGCCAAGTACAAGAGGAAGTGCACACTTTTCAAAAAGACAATTCCATAGCACAGAAAGGGTTTGCGTGGGAAATTTGTGAGTGAAAAGCCATTACAAAAACAGGGAGGGTTTTTGGGTACTGATATAGGGTTGATATCAGGGTTCTATCGGCAGGGTGGCTAATAGGTGTGAGAAATGTTAGACGATCAAGATGTAGGCTGATCGGTAAATTCTGGTTGTACTTTGAGTGAGTTTCAAGAACAAATTCTTAGTGAATCATCAGAAATCGCAAGAGAGAGATTCTCTAACCGTGGATTAATCGGTGTTGGGTTCATTAACACCTAGCACCGGAAACCACGTAAAAACTCGGTGTCCTTGTTCGTTGTGGTTTTCTTCTGCTCTGTTTCTAGGTTTAAAATTGCTGGTTGTGTGAAGAACAAAAAGCAAGGTTGTTTGATCGAAGAACCAAGAGAGGAAAGGTGTGGGAAAGGATATCAATACGGTGAGTATAAGGTAAGGCTTTGGTCTATTGTGTTTATTGCTTTATTATTTGGGTTTGGTAAATCTCTCCCGCAGGCTCGGGTGGAGACTGAAATGGGCTTGTCCTGATCATTGGATTCGCGGCCCAAAAGAGGTTACTTCGGTCTGAGACTCCAAGACACATCAGAGGGATTTGTTTGCTTTCATTTTCAATCAAACCATTTCCAAAAAACATGTTCATTCACTTGTTCTTCCCAGGAGTGTAGAAGTTAGGTTTTCTACAGGTGAAGTGATCACTAGGAAACAGATAGAATCAACCAAAAGAAGAGCATAACGTCTCGCGCTCGATGCACCAACAAATATTTGGGCTTCTTTCCTTCTGAGACTGGCCATTAACCATAAGGTATGCAAGTTTGGTTGAATCTCTGGCAAGGAGCATAGCTGACTTGTTGTGGCCTTGGTTGGTAGCCTTGATTAACATAACTAACATCAGCATTTCCTTTCCCTTCATGACCATCTTCTCGACAAGATTCACACACAAATAGGGGCCACCACTGGCTCATTCTATGTTTTCATTGATGATTTCTTTAGTTGATGAGAGAGTTCCTTCATCTGTTCACAAAAGATGGCAGAAATTTCCTCATTTCCTAAGGAAGTTTTCATTGGTTTCATTAACGGTTTCCTAAACTAGTTCTTGAATTCCTTATCAGTGTGGTAAAATGATCTTGGCATTGAGCTCCCCTCATTGTAGTGAAATCAACAAAGACAGATTAATTTACAATCATTGTGGTATCTCGATCTAAACCTTTGTCAAAATACTTAGCAACTTTCTATAGTGTGAATTCGTGATAAGGTCATGCCTTGAGATGCTCTTGGCATCTCCTCCAAGGTTCATAGAATGTTTCTTCTTCCTTCTAATGAAATTTTATGATTTCATCTTTTAGGTCCTGTCTCCCAAGTGGTAAAGTTGTCTGGTGGATGATAATCTAACCACTGCTTTGCATTTCCTATGTTTGAGAAAGGAAAAATTTGTAGTCAGGTTGCATCTCTAGTAGCTTCATTTCCTAGGATGGAATTGGAAATCTGTAAAAAGATCTCCAGATGTTGCATAGGATTATCATCATTCCTTTCCACAAATATATGTGATTATTGGATCATTTGGATCTATTCAGTACAAATCTAGATGTTTGTTGGTGGTGCAGCAATGCTTGATGAGATATTTGAGGATTTGGATCTCAAATACTCGTACAGAGTAGATGGTATGGCTACTATTTTCTCTTATACCATCGTTAATGATATAGAAGAGGGTATGGAATAGGTTTCTTCTTTTAAATCGAAGTTGTAGCCTTCGTCATTATTCTCCTTCTAATTCGAGTTGAACTCTTGATGGATAGGACTCAAAATCTCATACTTTCCTCAGCTAAATGCTCCTTCCTTGATATCAAGAAGAGTGAACCACATACTCCTCCTACTTTGATGATCTCCTCCACAATCTTTTCATTTTGACTTCTTTCTAGTAAAGATTGGACTCATACGACAACATGCAAAGCAAATTAAAACTAAAACTAATAAAAAAAGAGGCATAAGATAGTTAGATTCTTTGATATATAATTAGAAATTCTCGGCAACGGCACCAAAAATCTGACAACTCTAGTATAACAATGCAAGTAATAAAAATCCTAGATAAACTAGGGTCGTATTCCACAAGGTCATCTGATGCATAACTACTCACATCCAAATACTCATGCTCGACACAAAGCATAAAAGTAAATATATTTAATTGAATACGAAGTTTACTAGACATAAATATGTATTTCAATTCTCATTCATATCATGCATCAATGTATCATCTATGTACCGATCTTTTTCTTCTACTAAAGTCTTCCAAACCTAGTTTTCACCACATGAAAGAGGAAAATAATTAGCTAATGAGTGCTTTCGCTTCATGCAATCAACCTACTAATAAAGAACGGAGAAATAAGGATAACAATAGATAAGTGTGTGCCTCTTGAGCTAAACATATGATCTATAGTATCAATGATCTAACAATTAACCATTGATCTTATACATGGATGAATGGGTGATCAATCCTCCCATACACGCATAGGGAAATGGAATATCACAAAAGTAGTTCCTAACATCCTAGATGATATTATAACAATTCGTATAGTAACATACAATATAAGAATAAGCATAAATGATAGAAGCACTAGATCACATAAACACCAAATACATATTCATAAGCATGGACATCGAAATTCAAAGGCATCCAATGACAAGAATCATACAAAATCATGGAATGAGATACTCATATTATAACAAGTTCACATTCATACGCTATCAATTCGAACTAGCTATATATTGAAGAGAAGGAGGATACAACCATCGATAATGACGACATCTCCTCAACTACGCCCCTCTCCTATGGATGTTACGCTATCACTTAAACAGAGTGTTTACAGAAGAAAAGTGTTAACTTTTGCAGTGTACAAAAATACTAAAGCCTGCATCTCTATTTATAGGGAAATAATCCTAGGATTTTTCCTATTCCGGGTCAAGCTAAGGTGCCCTTACTCCACTAGGATACGAATTCTTTGACTTGGGGACAGAGTAAGGGCTTCTTAAAGCTTCTTTGGGCTTGAAAACTAAGCAACAGTCCAACGGAGGCACCAACGACGTCCTTCTTCTTATACTAGATTGTTTGTGGGCTAAGCTACTTCTCTTTAAAAAAATTAGGCGTAACTTGATAACCTTTGGGTTTGCATTGGTTGGACCCTTCCAGAGGCTGCTATAGATTCCTTTTCCTATTTGGACTAAGAGGTCGTTTGCTTGTAGGATTCTGAAAAACCAAGGATTTGTGTAAAACCCTGGATTTATCATAAAAGGATTATGTGGGATTTTGTCATTTTAGATTTGTGTTGGATTTGCAAAAGTGCTTGTTTGCTTGTTGGATTTTGTATTGGATTTATGTCCTTAAAATTGTTTAGTTAAAGGTTGAATTTACAATTTTGTCCTTATTGAATACCATCTCCAAGAGAATAACAAAAACCCCTGCCCTCTGCCATTACCTTCTCCATCTCTATCCATGTTTATTTTACAATTTAATCTGCAACACTTGTTCCTTGTGGCCAGCTAACTAAATTTGTATGGAGTAAACAAAAAAATTGCAGCACCTAACACAAACTTGCAGCAGCTACTAGAAGAAACCTCAAACGTGTTCAAAACTTATAATGATGACAATTTTCAGTAGGTAACGCAAATTTGCAGCAGCTAATGGAAATTTGCAGCAGCTGCTAATAGAAATTTACAATAATGACAATAGAAATTGGTAGCAGCTACTTCATAATAAGAACTGTCCAAAGTTGCAGCAACTTCTTACAACATAAATATGCATCAGCTTACATACATTAATGACTTCCAAATACCAAACACATATCCAGAATGGTATGGAAACTAACAAAAAACCAGTGTTGCACATATGCTAGGATCACTGATAGCAAATCGAACAGAAGCTACTAGCCAGATTTGCTCAAAAAGAAGTTCCTACTCCATTCCACATGTGTTTTTTGAGAAGCAGATACTATACATGAGCTTCTCATCCTAAGTCCTACATCCTACATCTGACCACCTGGCATTAACGTAGCAAATTCATGATGAAGTACTTCGATCTTCTTCATTTTTCATAGCATAGAAGAGTCTTGTCTTTCGATCATTGTCAACCAAAGCCATTGCAGCGTCAACCACCTGACAGCGAGTTAGCCCTTCAATTTTGCCTATCTCTGCTATCAATGCATCTTCATCATAACTGGTATCCTCACGTTCACGCATGATGGTTCCAAGAGCTTCAAGTGCCTTGGAAATGACAGGCTTTAACCCACCAATTTCAGCAGCAACAGTTGCAATGTCTTCATCACCTTGTTCCTTTTTAATTACTTTGGCCTTCTTCTTAACAATAGGGTTGCTGCCCCCTGCATGCTTCGAATCACTTCCATGGCACTTTACTAATGGAACGGTATCCTGAGACAGAGGAGTGAAAGTCCTTTGAGACATCTCTATGCCCTCATTAATCAAATCCTCCATCAGGCTATCACCTCTAGGATCCTCTACATCAATTGGAGTGTGGACTCCATCCAAATCCATAATAACAGGTGTGTCTATGGATGGATCATTCACTCCGTCAGCAATACCACCAGTAATCCTTCCACTTGCAGAACCACTCTTACCAAAGACGGCTTCTAACTCATAATAATTGGGAAAAGGCTTGTTGTTCCAGTTTTTACAATTTGGATGCACCTACAACAGAAGTAACAATAATGACAACAGGCTTTACTAACAAGTTGAACTAATACTGCTGGCTGTAATAACTACGACGGCAGGCTTTACTAATAAGTTGAGCTAACCATTACTGCATACGACAAACACCACTTAACAAGCTCATTGCTGCAGAAAACTTACCTTGATTAAATCCTCAAAAGCACCAGTTTCCATGGATGCAGTACATGTAATCTCATCCCAGCCAGAACCACTCTGGTTTCGCAGCAGGTGTACAGCATTAAAATAACTTTTCAGTTTTTTGTGCCTGGATCGAATATGAGGCTCAAGCTGCACCCCACAACCTGGAGCCCTCTGCTGCATCAAACTTTCAAGCTCATTGAATGCTCCGTTCTTGAAGGATCCATTTTGTACTTGATGCTTGTGGACTAGATCCATCATGCAGGAAATCAGAATTGCATCGAGTGAATCAGTCCAATTGAAATTCTTTCTTCCTGGTTTTCCATCTTCATCTTCAGTAATGGCTGGAGCTTTTCGCTTGTTCCCCATCCTACAAAACCAACACATGCATGCATTGAAATACATTTATGAAGTTCAGCAAATTCATGGATCCAAAAATATTACAACTTGAAACATCTCAAACATATTTAACATTAATGACAGCAACGTTCAATGATACAACAAATTCATAACACACAACAACTGACAAGACAATAGTTCAGAAAGCAACTACCACCCAACAAACATAACAAACAATTAGAATTATCTATTTCCCCTACTCTCCCACATCTCTACAGCTTTTGAGTTCCTAAATGTTGTCCATTCTTGGGATGGACAAACATCGGTTATCTTTTCCACATAAGCTGAAGAATAGTGTTCAGGTTCATGATCTCTATAGTCTCTCTCAAAAGTGTCAATGCCTTGCTCTCTCTTGATGAAATTATGCAGCAAGCAGCAAGCATTGACCATTTTGGTCATAACTTCAAGAGAGAATCAGCTGGGTTCTCTTAATATGGCCCATCTCATCTGGTTGATGCCAAATGCCCTCTCAATGACGTTTCTTGCACCAGCATGCTTCATATTAAAGTACTCCTTAGCTTTCAATGGCTTATTAACCCCCCCACTCTTTCATATGGTACCTCTGACCCCTATATGGAGCCAAGAAGCCTTCACAATTGCTATACCAAGCATCACACAAGTAGTATGTTCCTAAAAGGTGGAAACAAAAATCAGTATGACTAACTAAAGCTCAAAATACTTATAATATACTAGTTAGATCTTACAACGTCCTTACCTTTTGGGACCTCTAGCCCATTCGGCCTTATCAAAGCATCTCTGAGCACCTTCCCATCATGAGCTGAACCCTCCCAACCAGCTAAACAATACAAGAACTCAAGATTTGGATTGCACACTCCCAAAACATTCATTGAAGTTTTTCCTTTGCAGTTTCGGTATCTAGCCTGATCTTCTATCCTCACACGAAGCCTTACATGAGTCCCATCTAGTGCCCCTAAGCAACCCTAAGAAACAAAAAAAAAGATTTATAAGCTGCTGCCAATCAAGTTAACTTGCTGAAATGTTCACAAATTATGTGTAATATCACCTTACAGTATTTCCACCTTGCATCATCCGAGTTATCTTGTATAGGTTCTGCACGCCTTATTAGTATAGGATGAAGGCGAAGAATGGAACACAAGACCTTGTGTATAACCTTCGAAATGGTTTGCCCCGAACGACAGAAATCAAGTTGCAGCGTCCCATTTTTTGTGTTGTGAGCAATGGTGACCAAAAACACCATCACCATCTCAGCTATATCTATATTATCTGTTCGTTTTAACCCACCTTTGCTGACTAGTAGTTCACACAACCTCCTAAATAGTGTACGATTCATCCGCACTTTGTCAATGCATCGAGTGTCCGACAACTCGAGTGTGCGTCTCATATGACGCATTCTATCATGTTGGCGATCAAATATGCTATCTAGGGGGTGTTATGACGTCTGGTTTGTATCCTTCTCGAGAGAAGAAGTTCAAACCATCTAACCAACAACGATACATACACAAGCAACAAAGTTAATACTATACTAATTGTTGTCACCGTCTTTCGCTTTTGCATCTTACAAACTCTTCTTAATCGAGCCATACACCCTTTACAGAAAAGAAAAGTAATGACATGTATTAGTAGATCATCTACTATGAATTGGTTAGACCAAAATAAAAACTGAACTTTGGACACAAACAGTACAACATATAGTCACAATATACAGTAGGCTTATCTCATGTTATATACCATAGCATTGACAGCCAAATAAGATGAAACATGTTTTGCATAGTTCCAGCGAACCCTAAATCCTTAAACAAAAAATAAACAAACATAACTGAAGCCTAAAATCTAAATAGAGTGAACATGAGAATGGAAGGGTAGAAAACTAAATCCGTCAAATATATACTTGGAGAGTGATATAAAAGTAAAGACACACATCATATTGCCTCTGCTCAACGGCGACGAGAAAAGGAATCGTTGGGTGTAGAGCGGATCCATTGACAGAGATGGAGAAGGGGAGTGAGAGCAGAGGCTTACCTGCAGACAAACCCACTCCGGCGGCAGAGACGACGAGAGTTTAGAGCCCCCTGCTAGCTGCTTTCTTCAGTTGAGAATGGGAGACAGAGGCGGCTACGGTGCACAAACTGGAATCGGCTGGAGACTGCTTGTCAAACCCTACAAATAATAATGAGGGAAACATCGGAATATTGGAAATATATAAGGTTACTTTTGTCATTTGCTTTCATGGATTATGGCTCTCTCCAAAATTCCACCTAAAGAGGTAGGATTTTATAATCCGTGGACCCCACGGATTTTGATCCCACTATAATCCTTTATGCATGGGTCCCATGAGAACAAATCCAACACAATTTTTACAACAAACATGGACTTTGTCCATAATCCCATAAGTGTGGGTTTTTAACCCAAACTCCTTGATAAAAATCCCAATAGCAAACGACCTCTAAGTTTCCCTCCAATGGGCTCCAGTTAAGACTGTTAGTAGGCTTCCCCTCCTTTGGGCTTCGTCTAATAGGTGAAAAACTCATTGATCTTTTCGTATATGCTCCATTGATCCTCCATAGTTATCCAAACATCAAATCCAATAATACTAGGTTGCATTTACCTTAAAACGTACAAAAACATACCAAAAAGACATAAAAGATTAAAAAAAAATACAACATAGGTCGAATAATAGCACACTGGTAAAATAGTTATGTTATTCGTATGAATTCAAGTAAAAACTCCTAGAGATGCATTCATAGAAGGGAAAAATGTATCAAATATTGGAGTGATAAACACCATAATTTGAAGATGCTATTGTTTGCACCATGGAATCCAGTAAAGAATCAGCTTTTGTTACCTTTTATAGGGCTAGTATTCGGTAAATTGGTATTTGGTGTAACTGGTTACCAAGCCGGTTACCGGTAATATTCGGTATGCGGTAGCATAATTAGGAAAATGGTATATCAGATAATATCCGATAACTTATCGATGGTAGTCCGGTATACCGGAATACCGGAAAAATATTGTCAGGGGCAAAACGCATCCGATTTCCAACCCTACCTTATTCACACCTCGCCTCCCCCTGGTTGCCTTCCCACCGCGAGCTACTCTATTTCTCTCCCGAGTCCCAACTCTCCATTTTCCTCTTTTCTTCACCAGCCACTAGCAGTCCATGACACAGAGAGCTTCTCTATAATTGTCTTGGTCGGAAGAAGGATTGATTCTGAGAATTGAGGTTGGGTACTACTGGACGAAGAAAGAAATGAAGAAATAGAAGAAGAAATGAATGACTTAAAAGACAGAAGAAAGAGAAGACCAGGGGAGAAGTCGAGTGTTCACTAGTTTGAGGGTAGAGATTCCGACGGCGGTGGACGGTGATTTCGGTGATGACAGTTCTTCTTCTTCCCGATTCTGCCCGACGACAGAGAGTTTTGTAACGTCGATTTTAGGTGGGATTCCCGCCCGGATGTGTTATGTCCCTCCCTTCTTTGTCCCTACTGATTGCCCGACTCTGATTTCATCCTTCCTTTTGAATATCTGACTCAAGGGACAAAGAAGCTATTATTTTAATCATGTAATTAAAAAAATATATTAAATAACATTTCAAACGCATAGCCGCTCTCATAGGTTTTCGAGGTACCAGATACATACCGGTTACCGACTATCTTGTATGCTGACTGAGATTCGGTATCGGCATTCTGCAGCCACAACACCAGCACCTGGTATACCAAATACTGACTGATTGTCAGCCCTACCTTTTCCACTACTGACATATCTTGGCTCACATCTATAGATTCAACAGGATTGTACTACTATAGAGCGTGATATTACAATATTCTCCACCTCATTCACCTCTTCATGTTCCTTCTTCACCGCCTACGAGAGTTCACTTCCCTCCGTCGCCATCACCGCATCTTTCACATAATTCTTATCCATCTCGTACGAAGGGTCGAGCGGTCGGCGGCGATCGGCGGCGGACGAGCGCCAAAGTGTCTTTTGGGCTTCTTGATTGGTTGACGGACTACGAGAGTCAGGGAAGGGAGATCGAGAGCTTGCTCTGGTTTTTCGGTGAGGGAAAATTAGAGAGGGAGCAGGGAGCGATTGCAGAGCACTGTGAGGGATAGGTAGGATTAGATTTTGGGCTTAGAGGATCGGGTCACGGGTGGGATTTGTTGCATTGGGCTAGAGGAGGCACACTTGGGGATTGGGTTGTGGTTGTCAGTTGGCCTGGGGTTCTATTTTAAGTTATCCGCTTATTCTAGTTTTTCGTTTTTAAACCAGATTGCATCGAGGTGGTTTTTCTGGCTAATAGGCTGGCTGGAGACTGGACCATATCGGATGCAATCCTGTTTCTGGTTTCAACTTGGATGGTTTAAACTGCCCGGTTTCCGATTTGACCAAAAACCCAGGACTAAATTTCGTCGTAGGCAGTATACACATATCCCTCCCTTTGGTTTCAAATAATGAAAAATATGCATTCCCTCCCTCCCTTTGGTTTCAAATTAATAAAATTGAAAATGACACTACCAAGAGCGAATAGGGTGCTAACACCCGACGGCGACAGGTCGAGTGAATTCATGGGGGATTTTACGGGATGAATGATGCGGAGGAGAGAGAGGATTACAATTTACAAGTACAAAAGATAGTTGTTGGAGCTTTACAGGAGGGAGAGCGAGAGCAATCAATGAGAAGGAAGAAGAAGGAGTTGCGCCAGAACTGGTTCGACGCTATAGTTGAGCTGGGAGAGATTTTTTTGATTCTTTACATTGTTTTTTTATATGTAAGTTATTTCTTTTATTTTTTAAAAGTGGTATTGTTTTTGAAACTTGTGGTATACTTTCATAAACTTGTGATATACTTTATAGGACTTGCGGTATGCTTTAGAGAACTTGTGTTATGCTTTAAACAATTTGTGGTGTGCTTTAATGAACTTGTGGTGTGATTAATGACTATTGTGATGTGGTTACGTTGTGGTTTTCTTTCTTAACTTTGTTGTTATTTTTATGACATGTTGTATAGGACTTGTGGTCTGCTTTAATAAACTTGTGATATACTTCTGGGACTCGTGGTATATTTACATAAACTTATGATATACCTTATGAGACTTGTGGTCTACTTTATTGAACTTGTGGTAAGCTTCCAGTAACTTGTGCTATGCTAATGAGATTTTTGGCTAAATTGCAAGTTTGGTCACTTGAATTACTAGTAAATTTTACTTAGCCACTAAAATTACGTTATTTCATCCGTAGTTGCTTAAATTAGTTCAACAATTCAAGTTTGTTCACTCTCCGTTAGTCTCTGTTAACTTTGACTGACGTCGCAGTCAACTCTGAGAGTTGACCGTTAAATATGTGATGTGACAATTAAAAAATAAAAAAAAATTAATATTTTCAATTTTCCACCTCATTATTACCACCCATACAAAAATTAAAAAAAAGTAAATTAAATGTACGTCTCCGGCCGCCCCACCCTCTCGGCGCCTTTCGCCGCCACCGCGTTCATCAGCTCCTCCCGTAGATCTCCCTCTCGAATATCATCCTCTCCGAGTCCTCCCGCCCCCGTGTGCACTCGAAAATGTTGAACAACGACGAGAAGTGGAACATCGCCTGCCTGAACCGCGTCATGAAGAAGGGCGTGTTCTACGCGCCGTTGATCACGGTATGCACGAATATGTCCGGCTTCATCCTCTTGATCAGGTTCAGCACCGCGTTCCTCGGGGAATTCGAATCGATCGACTCTTCTAGAAGGTTCTTCAGCTGGAAGAGTGAGTTCACCACAAGCACCTCCCCTGCCTCGATTTTGAAATCCTCGATCGGGATGGTCTCCCAGTTCTGGGACGCGATCGGGTGGTACTCGAACGGCACGCCTAACCGCTCATAGTACTTGGCGAGGCGGCAGTCGGTCTACTCGTTCCGGCCCGACGGTCAGAACCCTCGCTACGGGAGCTCAATTCCGGTGATCCGGAGCTTGGGAGGGTGCCGTTGGGCCGCATCGCGAGGATTTGGATGAGGATCAGCCACTAGAGCCGAACATTATCCCGAAATGGAGTTATACATTAAGTTTTTATTTATTATTTGGAGGTTTTTCTATAATTTCCAGAAGCAAGACGAGAAAAAGTTTGGCCGGAAACTAAAAGACTCAAGAGAAGAAGGGGGGGGGGGAGAAGAAATAAACAAATTCTCCGACGAATTGCTCCACCGCCACCGCAACCACACGCCCCAATCTCCGACGACCGCCACTGAATCCCATCCCCGCTCTGGCGCTTCGATTCCTTTATATCCCTTATCCGTCCTTAGGCCTCATTTGTCTGCTTTCCCTAAGCGCCAAGTTTCCTCGCCGGCGCCGCCGAGCGTGTATGCAATGGCGGCGAGGGCTAAATATAAATTAGTTTACTTTTTTAATTTTTGTACGGGTTTTAATAATGTGAAAAATTGAAAATATTAAATTTTATTTTTTATTATTTTTTAATTAGCACATCACACATTTAACGGTCAACTCTCAAAGTTGACTGCCACGTCAGTCAAAGTTAACGGAGAGTGACCAACTTGAACTGTTGAACTAATTTAAGTGACTACGAATGAAATAAAGTAATTCTAGTGACTAACGTAAAATTTACTAGCAATTCAAGTGACCGAACTTACAATTTAGCCTGAGATTTTCTGAAAATACCGAAAAAATCAAAAAGCTTACAACTGCCATGAAGCAAACGAGAAATATATTAAACCATATCACGACACTCATGAAACATACCGGGACAATGAGAAACATGACCGCAAGTCCCAAAAGGAAATAGAAGCCATAAACACCTGCTATGCTAAGACCAACTCTACGTTTACGTACATGCCTACATGGGGAAGAGATCATCTAGTCTAGTGATGACTGTTGACAAAATGGGATAATAAATTCTAATACTAGCTCCTCCATGTGATCAACTCTTTACCCATCTTTACTCGTACAATAGATAATAACAAAGGTCTGATGATATTGTCAGTAATGTATTTGATAGAAGAACTCGAGTAGTCTCTTGATGTTTTGAGCATTGGGAATGATATATATTTTTCGATTGGTTGTGATTATAGTGATGACCTTCCTGAAAGAAGCATTTTGCTAGGCGAAGAGGCCAATGTTGAATGTGAAGAGGCCAGGGGAGGAAAGATTTCAACGGAGCAACCTCGATTTGCCACCTCTATCGAAGAACCACCAATCTTTTTGGCAAATTGAAGTGGTCTTTAATTTGCTAGTCACTCAACTTGGAAAGAGCATTGTGTCATCGTCTTTATGGATCGGGTTGTGCCTTGTCTCCTTAACAGCTTGTTGATTGGATGAATTCTTATTTCCGGTTTTTTTTTTTTTTTTTTTGCAATTGATAACCCTTCCCTTCGAGAGAGTGTGTGTGGATTGATATATATGTAGGTTTACCGTGAAAACGAAAATAATATTAACGATACAAATCAATAAATATATACATGGAAGTTGTAAGTACAGAAAGTAGGAGTAACTAAGCGGTAAAATAAAGAAAGAAACAACCTCTACCATTATTCTAACTAACCTTTTTTTCTCCCTTCTTCTAAAAGAAGTAACAAAAAGTTAATTACAGTAATTAGTCTTCTTTCACCACTTGTACCATCCCCTCACCAAAAAAACAGAGGGATTGTAGGGGTAATTAAAGTTTACTTGTCCTTTAATCTTTGTATATATGTTCTTCTTCTCTGAAATCCTTTCTCCTTGTATATAATCATCTATAATTAATATCCTTTTTGATCATTTCTTACCTATATCTAGACAACATGCATCCTTTTCTTTTTGTTTTTTGGTTCTGTCGAGGTTGTCGTTTTCTTCCCCCGACAAATCAGCACGCTGCAGAGGGATTCGTGAACGGATTGAAGAACTGAGGCTTCTGAGCAATGGAGAAGGCACTACTACCATCAGAACCACCACCACGATGATGATCAGCGCCACCGGCGGCGGGGCCACCGACCCTCTCGCAGGAGGGGCACATAGAGAGGGTGGCCGCCGGCATGTGCATGTAAAACTGCGCCGCCGCCGCAGCTGCGGCCTGCGGTGGTGGCAATTTGAGAGCCTTCAAATCCTGAAGCTCCTTGTGCAGCCTCCTGTTCTCGTCGGTCAGCGTCTCGCAACACTTCTTCAGGAACTCACAATCCACCTCCGTCTGCTTCAGTTTCGTCCTGTGCCGAATTCCCCCCAAACACGCAATTTAATTAGCAAGAAATAGCCTACTAATTGAAAATAATTGGTCACAGAATTATCATTAGACAGCAACTCCTTTTATTACGTCAGGGAATACGAAACTTTTTTTTTTCTTTTCCTGTGTGGGCCTTGTTTTTATTCCTAGGTTGTGAAACCGAGCTCGTGCCAGACAGACTGTGACTTAACAGATAACGTAAATGTACGATATTATAGTTAAAATAAAACAATTTATTCAATTGGTGTACCACAGTGAAAATCAGCTGTGAAGTTCGGTTGAAGTTAGAAAAAATTTACCCTACTTAATTTTGAAATCCATACAGTTATATATAAATGGGTTATGTCTTCGGTGCACTCACTTTTTTGGGTGCATTCAATGCACCCGCCTCATAATCGTCATTCTGAGCAGACGATTCATGTGAAAACGATGTCAATCATCACTTGTGGTATGATGAACAAGAACCACATGAATTTGTACAAAAATCATTCAAGATTCACTTTAATTTGAATGATTGAGGGTTTAGGAATTTAGGGTTAGGGTAGGGTTTACAATTTGGGATTTTGGGTTGAGATTCAAAATTGAAGGTTAATAGGTTAGGGTAATCGGTTGATTAGTTGTGATTTTGTGCTATATCATCATATAGACTAATGCAACCCATTAAATTTCAAAATTTGATGTATTATAACCACTTTTAGAGGTGAGTGCTCTGAATGCACTCAAAAAAGTGAGTGCACCGAAGTAGCCACCTTATAAATGTTGTATACATTTAGGAATTAGAATAACTTTAGCTTTCATTTCTCAATTATTACAATTCATGTCAGCCAATCTTCATCATTTATGAAAACCTATCAATATATGTATATGTTTAGCTATTTTGAGCTGGATCAAGATGATTTTTTCATTATATTTACGTATCCTATCCAACATCGCAACTTATGGGTACTTTTTTTTTGTCGGCAATACAGTTAGATAATCCATCAACTACCTATAGGCACCTAAATTCCTTTTTTTAAAATTGTTTATGCTATTTTGAAAAGACGAAATATATGTGTATGGTAGTTAAACAGAAAGATAATTATGTGATTGTCGTTAGATGGGGAATAGATACCTGGCCCTCCTGTTCTGGAACCAAACTTCAACCTGCCTGGGCCGCAGATTTAACTGCCTTGCCAGAGCTTGCTTTTGCTTCTGCGAAAACTCCAAACCCAAAAGAAGAAACCAAGAAGGAAAAGAAAAAAAACCCTAAATAAATATGAAAATCCATTCACCAAGAAAAGAAAATTAAAATTAAATATTCAACGGAAAAAAGAAAAGAAAATTAAATTCCATAAAAAGAAATTAAAAGCTAGATTCTATTGACAATAAATAAATAAGATTAAGAGCGATGATTACGGGGTTAAGGGTGGAGTGATGCTTGAAGCTCTCTTCCAAAAGGGCGGACTGATCTTTCGTGAGACGCAGCTTTTTCCGGGCGGCGGTTGAGCCTCCGTCGTTGTCGTCGTCGCTGGCCCTGGACGACGAGACCACCCTCTCCGCCGTCTCCATCTCGTCGGTGGAGCTGAGGACGTCCCTCTCCCTCTTCACCACCATCCTACCGCCGCCGCTGGCCGCCGAGAACGACGACACCGCGCTGTTGGGCGGCGACGCTTCCTGCCGAGCACAGCCGGTTCCTTTCCTGACCGCCGCATCAGCATCGGAAACTTGATCGGAGAGGAGGGTGAGGCTGAGGGAAGGCTCGAAACTGTGTACGCCGTTGGGGTTGGCGGCGGTGGCGGTGATGTGGTTGCGGTGGGCGGTGGAAAGGGTTAGGCCGAGGAGGAGGCCGTGATCCTCCGCTGAAGAAGAAGAAGCCATTACTGAAAAAGAGAGAGACAGAGAAAGAGCGGGTTGAACAAGTATGGGAACTAGGGGAAGGAGCTGGTTTTATAAGGGGACAACGTTTGATGGGAGGCAGAGGGCAGCAGAGCAAGAAATTAATGATGAGGAAGGAAAAGAATGAAAGACCCTTTTTTTTCTTTGTGCTGAAAAATATGTTAGAGAGAGAGAGGGAGAGAGGGAGAGGGAGAGGGAAGATAGTTGAGTTGGGTGGGTGGGTGGCTCTCATGATGATTAATCCAAACGAAAATTAATTTTATTTAATTTCACCCAGAATGTCCTTTTTATTCCAACAAAATATTTATTCTTTTTTTTTTTTCGTGTCTACATCGTTAGGGTTCGGTTGGGATGCTCATCAACTAGGTGTGTATGGATGGACTCACTAGAGCATTTTTGTAGCTAGGGAGGCTGATTCTTGTTGATGGTTATCTACTTTTTCTCAAGTCACTTATTATTTATGAGAGAATACTTGTACAATCTACACTTCTTAGATGCTTGTCCTGCTTCGATTAGATTGGAGTTATTTCATTTAAGATTGGAAAATCTTTCAAGAGTTTCGCTTTCTGGAAAAAAAACATATCAGTCATGTGATCTGTTTTGTATCAAGTAGTTTTCTCGAGAATAAGAATGATCTTTTATTTAAAACAAAAAATAAATAATGAGGGATGATGTCCTTAATTTTAGATAGTGTCATGCATAATTTTAACAACCCAACCGATGCAAGAAATCATGGTATAAACAAAATTGAATCAAAAAATATTTCATGATTGTGATCATGTGAGGGCACTCTTCCACTACATTAGCCCCGCCGTACTGAAGGTTTTAATTTTTGGGTAAACTCTAGGTCTAAGGAAATTTCGTGGTTTATTTCTCTTCTCTTCTCTCTGTACAAAGGTTGACCATTCGTGAAGCCCCACTTGTATTTATGATGCTTTACTTGCACTATCGTAACCAACGAACAAACAAGAAAAAAACAAGTTTCCTTTTCACATTATCTTTTTGCCCTGACCCTGCTCCGATCCTCCCCTGACTAATCCTTTTCCTGACTCTAAAAGTCGTTAACCATATCATTAATTATGTGCCAGAAAACTAATTAATTGGTGATGACGATAAAGTAGAGTGCCTCTGAATTTGTCAAACTAATAATCACTGCGTCCAATTATATGGTTGGCGTAATTAAGCAAAGGGAAACGAATAAGAATAATACGGTACGAGTTATATGTCATATTATTCTGATCATCTACACTACTTTTTTTGTTTACAAAAGGGAAACAAACAGCCGTTAAAAATGACAGAATAATATTTTTGGGTTTTTCCCACAACAACGGTGAGTGAGGGACAACATGCATCAACTATGGAATGGAGGAGATTGATTCGTCTTGCTTGCCCCTTCCATACTCCATCGCCCGCCCCCCATTAACATACCTTTTCTTGTTGTATTATCTTCTTAATTAATTTCACCTTGTTTCTCTCTATCTCTCTTTTTTCCGTTGATTGTTGGCTCAAGATTTGAACATAATAAAAAATGTGATGAATGTTTTTGTCCCCACATTATCATTAGGTTAACCCCTTAGATTTGATCTCTATTTTAATGAATATGCGAGTACACTTTTACTTAGCTATACAAACCAGCTTTCGCGACACCCACATGACTTAATGCTTTACTTTGAAAACTTGATGAAACCCTACATGCATTTCAACCACTACCACTAAAATCACAAGTAATAAGTATATTTATGAACTACATGGTGAAAGCTAAACCAGTCAATTATAGTTTGCGGGGAAAAATCACTACTTCATGGTATTTTTGAAAATTAATAACAATCGAAGAGTTCATAATTACTTCTAAATATTGAATACTACAATTCGATATGTAATAGATATTTAGGTTGAAATTTGAAGATTATCATCAATTTATAATATAGAAAATAACATTTAAATTAATTATTAAACTTCTATCAAAATAATAAAAAAATATGAAAACATAAGCATCCAACACTAGTTAGGGGAGACTTAGTGGGGGTAGCTAATGGTGAGGAAGAAGTCTTCAAATTTCCAGATTGTAGATTTATGTATGTTTTTAATTTAAAAAGATACAAAAAATATTTAGTATAATTGATTACTATTATTTTTCTATTTTAAAAGACGCCAATTCAAATACGCATATTAATGTGCTTCTTTCTATAAATAAAAAGTAAATAAATATTTAAGAAGACAAAAAAAATTGCTACTACTTCTGATCTTATATTAAGAAAATTAAATTGAAAGAGCGAATTTCTTGTTCCACTATGATACAATTGACGGTTTCTTGTAAGTTACCCTCTTAAGATTATGTGGCATCATATTGTTGGCTAGCCGACGCCCGAGATAAGTTTGTTATTGGTTTAATTATGTTTGACTGCATTTGATGAAAATTGAAAATTAGATTTTATGTCTAAATTTCTTTGACTGGACTATCCTGATGAATAAGACAAATACTCTACACATAAGATATACACTAAATAAAATCCCTCTTAACTTACCTTGACACCATTCGCTACAGGGATGGTACGCATTTCCTATAAAGATATGCTCAACCTTTGGTAAATTTAGAAAATAATGCATATTATTTGTAAGAAAGATTATCTAGATTTTGAGTTAATTGAATTTGAAGCATAATATTATGTCCTAATTTTGTTTTTGATAATTATTATGTCTTACTTCTTAATGAGTAAATCATGTTCTAATTCCCTAAATTATAAACCATAAACTTTAAGAGTGTGCATATAGTATGTTGAATGTATTTCGATATATATATCATAACCGTGAATTATTGTTTTTAATAAAATTAATTTTAATGTATTGTGATTTGGAGAATCATAACTCATAATTTAATTATTTGACTTTAGGGTATAACAGCATGCTTTATACTCTGGTTAATTCAAGTTCAATGATTATTTTACTAAAAGTTTGTGAAACTCTCAAATTTATTATGGTTACCATAAAACTCTCTCAAAAAGCAGCGAAATTGGCGTATTTTTTGTGTATACCAATCGAATTCATTCCCATGTTTCGTTGTTGCACACCCCCACCTTAGATTGGGAAGAATATAAACTTGGTGTATTCATTCTTAATACACTTTTTCTTCAATTATCAAAATATATAGAAAGTAAAATTTTTATTTTTATTCTCCTTTAATTTTACTTTAGAACCTATTATGGTGATATATGTGATTGCAATGGTGAAATTATAAATTTAAAGACGAGACAGAAAGAGATATTCTCGGAACACCAGTTTATATGTGAATATCTTTCCAACCAGCTCACATGCATCATTTGATGAAATCACTAGCCAGTTCAGTCGCCTCCTCGAAGTGGCTTGTAAAAAAAAAGGACGAAAGCACAGCCATACGGAGCGTTTGGCCACAGCCTTAGGATCCCTCTTTCCACTCTTCTTGTCAAGAGCTTGAAGCATGCTGCTCTCCGAAGGAACTATATATTATTTTTGGCTGCACAGGTAGAAATAGATAGTAGACATTATGCAATATATGCATGTGATTATCCAACTTCCACCGTAAACTATAGCTAGGTAAAGAAATATCCGCTTTGCATTGTTGATGAAACTTTTATCATAGAAAATTAATATTCACATCTAGATGGTTATCGACAGGACTATAAATTCTTATCGCCTGCAATAGTTTCATTAAAATGGTGGAATAACCTCAGAACACATGCATCTTGGTTGCTGCTATAAGAAAGAAAAAAACAAAGAATAGTTTGTAATTGTTGACAACCATGCACTTAGTTTTGATGATGTTATTCCCACCTCTCTTCTCCTATGCCAAGGACTAAGGTGTCCTAGTTATGATTCCCTACTACTAGTCTACTACTACCCTTTCCTCACCCTCTTCATGTTTCCACTTTTCCTAACATTATCCCCATATCTTTTGCAGTCATTCAAAGAAGATTGGGGTCGAAACATGAAAGAGAGAAAGCTTTTCTTTTCTTTTCTCACCTCCCCAGCCCCACTTTTATTATGACCAATAATGAGAGAATTGGAATAGTATGCGATTTGTGGTTAGGTGTTTGGTTTTGGAGGGAATTGATTGGATATGGTTGCATTATTGCAAGGGAACCAGGGAGGATGCTGATGGCTTTTTTTATTTATTAGGGTTATAGGTATAATATGTTCTTCTACTATAATGTTTTATCAAATATGTCATTTATTACTTTTTGCATCAAACATGTCCATGTACTTTGTAAAAATTATCAAACAGGCCCTTTGTTAAAATTTTCATCCAAAAACCGTTAACCAACGCCGAACTTTGGTTTGGGCGACACAAATGTCTAAAATACCCCTAATAATTTCACTTTAGATTTTTTTGGTTATTTTGTATAGCCAAATAATTCCACTTTGAAGAGACCCAAAGAAATCAAACGGGGGACAAAACTGATATTTTTCCTCCCATTTGCCGATGCTGGGTCGTCTAAATCTCGGTTCAACCATGATTGATGATTTTTTTTTTCCTCCCATTTGCCGATGCCGGGTCGTCTAAATCTCGGTTCAACCATGATTGATGATTTTTTTCAATGGAATTTTTAGCAGAAGGGCATGTTTGATAATTTTGTCAAAATACAAGGGGCATGTTTGATGTAAAAAATAGTAGAAGAACATATTTGATAGAACGTCATAGTAAAAGTACATATTATACCTATTACTTTTTATTAATACATGCAATATTAATGGCTTCCTCCACATGAACTGTCGTGCGCCCACTCCATCCCTACATTTAACCCCACTAAGAAATGGGTACCATGTTACATTAATTGCTCATCCCCACAATTCATTCTTAATTAATTACTTAATTAACTCGTCACACCATAGACGATTGGCAGAGGGGAGGAAGAGAGTATATGTAGCGGAATGGGTTAGGGTGATTACTTGTTTTTTAGTAATCACGGTGGCAACCTCTTTATATACCATTAGATTTTATATTTTCCCTTTTTTTTTAATCTTACGATCATGATTCTTTTAGGGTAATTTTGGAAATGAAAAAGTGACCACACCCGATTATTCTATATAATCTACCCAAACTCTAGTTCTACCCTCCCTCCAGCCAAACCCGCCGCAGCCGCCTCCACCACTCCGTCGCACCAATCCCGCTGGCCGCCTACACCAGCC